ATTATGGTTCTAGAAATTTTGTGTAGTTCTTTGTAGAAATTATGTTTCTCAGCTTAAATTATTTTCAGTTACCCCATTTTGTACACATTTTAATGTATATTAATGTACTTAATATGGCTACTTCATTGTGCTCATAAATTCCAATCTTGGCATATCTACAGTTCTGTTTCTATTATTTTCTGAATTATATTTCAAAGTTATCTGTTTCCTTATAGCCCATTTCAAATGTATCCTGGGTATGGTGTTTAAAGACCTGCATAAGCTGAAATAGACATATTTTATCCAGGAAGGTCATACTTCTCCTTTTTTCAGGCAGAAAGACTAAGGGAGTGCTCACACAGTTTCATCAGAAATTGAATTGGATTGGAGAATGGCCTATACTTTTAGGCTGCTTCAACTGCCACGTGGTTCCCAATGTATTGAAGATGAGATCAATCCTGTTCATTTGTTCCCTTTTCCCATCTGACTTGGGGCCTAATCAAAATAAGACCATGGGACTCTCGGTCTCTCCAATCTAGTACCCAGGTGTACCCACTACCTGAGTGATTCAAGTCTTTTGGTAGGGAGGACAGGCTGTGCCCTTTGGGGCCCTTTAGGATTTCATAATATCACTCCTGCTCATGTACTGGAATCAGCTTTTCCTTCCCACATTAGAATAAACTCTCTCCCATTGTAAGCATAAAAAGTTGTCAATTCCGGGGCTGGGAAGGTGGCTCAGTGGTAGAGCGCTTGCCTTGCATGCCTGAGGCCCTGGGTTCGATTCCTCAGCACCACATAAGCAAAAATAAAAAAGCTGGAAGTGGCTCTGTGGCTCCAATGGTAGAGTGCTAGCCTTGAGCTGAATAGCTGAGGGACAGCGCCCAGGCCCAGAGTTCAGGCCCCAGGACCGTACACCCCTCCCCACCAAAAATTTCCAATTCCATTATCAACAAATTCCTTGATGGAGTAAAAGTTTTTTTCCTATCTGGAGTTTTATTCCTTCAGATTTTTTGCACATTAAGAAAAGTGTGTGTGTGTGTGTGTGTGTGTGTGTATGTGTATGTGTGTGTACCTATAGGTTACAATGAGAGTTATAGCCCAACAACCTTTTATGAACTAACCTAAAACAGAACTCAGCTCATCTTTAGTAATTTTAATAAGAACGATGCAAATTAAATCTTACCACTCTTACTTTATAGAGAAGAGGATCAGTGACCTAATTTCATTTGACATGTAGCCAGCTGGGTCTGAATTTCAGTGAGCATAGAATAACTCTCCGTGACTCTTGTATGCATGCCTGAATGCTTACCCTTTACTCAACTAATAAATGTGTGACTGCAACTGCAAGTTCAGTAGGAGTAAGCAAATTGCTGTCACATGCTCTCTTATTGTTTCCTCTGTCTTGCTGTCCTGAGATCAAGAATAGCAGTGGTAAAGTTTTCTTATGTCCATATTTCCAAAATGAGGGTGAAGTCTTGATAGGTTACCTATGCTTCTTAAATGTTGATATTTGTTTATAAATTGTTATTTAGCTTGAAAATCAAAATGATTGAAATTTGGAACTTAATGTATGTTTTGGGAATGATGAAGATCGCTTGTGTGTGAAATAAGAAAATATAGGTTAGGAAGGCAAAAGAAATACTTTTATTTTGTATGGTCCTGGGGCCTGTTTTCTAAACCTGGACTCTGAACTTCATTTGCCCAAAGGAAGCACTGTACCACTTGAGCCACAGCACCACTTCTGGATTTTTCTGAATAGTGTATTGGAGATAATAGTCTCATGGACTTTTCCGTCTGGGCCTACTTTGAACCACAATCCTCAGATCTCAGCTTCTAGAGTAGCCAAGCTTACAGGTGTGAACACTCGTTCCTAACAGAACATGATTTTAATTACAAAAATAAAGAAGTAATGGGATATTTATGGAGTATATTTGACTGGTATTTGTTAATTCTATAATTTTGTTTTTCACTCAAGTCTTTTGAACTAATACTTTGTTCTGTCTCAATGAAAAGTGCTGGCTATTCAAGAAACATTTGGTATTTTGAACAAGAATTAATTCATAGCCACAATAATATGTAAATATAAATATCATATATTGAAATAAAGGTATGTATGAATAATAATGAGGAGTGAGTGCTAGTGTAATCCCTGTAATCATAATTACTCAGGAAGCACTGATCTGAAGTGTCAGAATCTAAGTCAGGTCTCTGAGGTGCAAATTCAGTTGTTCAGGTTTGTCAATCCGTTGGCCAGGGATGGGAACAGTTTTTGTAGCCAATCACGAAGGCCATTTGTTGGCTCCAAAGTTGTCCAATAAGGATTGCTGGTGAAAGGTGGGTTGGTGAGGTAACACATGGGACCTTCATGTGAGTTGCCAGTGTTTGTTCCACATGTCTAAGAGTCCTAAAGGGGCACAGCCTGGAAATTCTGTTTCTGCTATGATTTTTGGGAACCCTAAGCAGAGACACACCAACAAGTGAAAAGACAATGGTGCATGTGACTGGAAACATGTACTAGAGGACAAGCTTTGGGAACCAGAAATAGTTGTGGTGCTATGAAATCTCAGTGGGCTGCAGGGGCAGTAGGCTGTGCCCTCAGTTGCTCCATGGGACCCTGGATCCCCTAGCCTGTTGTATGGAGGCTGGAAACACAACTGAGAACCCTGTGCCATGTCTAGTGTCTTTTTTTTTTTTTTGGTGGTCTTGAGGCTTGAACTCTGGGCCTGGGCGCTGTCCCTCAGCTCTTCAGCTCACGGCGAGTGCTCTACCACTTGAGCCACAATGCCACTTCCAAGGTCTAGTGTTCTTGCATGCCTCTGTAGGTCTGCCCAGGATAACACCCCTTTGCCCCTTCCTCTTTTTTTGCTTTACACTCTTGGCCATGTAGGAAGTTAAGGAGTTAGCCTCACATGATCATCAGCTTTCCTCCAAGCTGACAGCTCCACCCATTCAGAAAGTATTCAAAGATAATTCGTATGCTAATGTGGCTTGCTAACAAAGTTGCCACCTCTCTTCCCAGGCCTAGAAACAGGCCTGCCCATCTAATGTGCTTTGCTAGAAAAGATATTTAGACTTGTTCTGTTCTTGGCTATCTAGGTCTTGGTTATCTGTAAGAAATTCTGTTACACTCAGACTACCCACACCCCTACCTCTGTCAGTAAATTCTCCTTATGTATATATAAAATATTATGTGTATATTTATTTAATATGTACGTCCCAAGGATACTTACTAAAAGTTTGAGTGGCATGCTCATCTCATTATCCTTCATCTAAGTGAGTATATGTCTTTGAATGTCCTCTTATTTTTTGATGTCCTATTATCACCAATGTTAGTATGAGAACTTCATCTCTACAATGATTATAACATTTGCACAACATTGACAGGATATCCCAATGACTACCTCTTGTCTCTTTTTCCTTGTTCATACTTGCTTATCTGCTAATCTGGTCTCCTTCCTGCCAACATTCACTCTGACTTCTGCATAGTAGACATTGGGGATATGTTGTGACAAGTGTTTATTATTGCCACTCAATGGGCAAGTAAGAATCCAACAATATTGATGAAATTATTAAAATAAAGAAGAAAGACACAAAATGAATGTAATAGCTGAAATATTGTAAACATTTCTTGATAAAAGGACTAATAATTTAGGTATATTAGCTAAGTAATATGCCATTTAAAGGAACATAAACACATTTTTAAACAATAAATACGTTGTTCTATTTCCAATTTAAAGTGAAAGTAAGGGATGTCTACTATCAGTATATAATTGCTCACCTATTAGAAATACAAATGTGAGTAGAAAGGTGTAATGAGCAGAAGAAGAGAGCAAGAAGAACTGCCATTATGTGATCATATGTGTTAAATAGTTGTGTGTTTCTTTAAACTGGCACATGATACAAAAATTGTTTTTTAAAATAATAAATAATGTATTTCTCATAAAATAAAGTACTGGAAATGCAATATTTTCTTGTTATCTAAAGACATAACAATGTCAACTGATAACATAGAAAGAAAACAAATGCATATGTATCCAATGTATATAATTTTGTATGGATAATATTTCTAAAGTAATTTAATAAAAATAATTTGAAAAGTATTTCCAGCCATGCATCAACAAGCTATTGTGAATCTATACTTTCTACATGTATTACTCCATAAATCCAATACATTATAATATACAATTTAAGTGTATTTTTGTAGAATATACAACCCAATTGTTGAAATTCTAAAACCATATACACAGGGTAGAGAGGGAGGAGAAAGAAGAAAGATGGTGAAAGGAAAAATGGGAGAGAAAGGAAATGGAGAGGTTTGGAGGATATTGGTTTGGGCAAGTAGCTTGAAGAATACTGAAAAAGTTAGATGTTTGAATAGAAATACACAACTATTAAGCAAAGCATACCTTAATGATTATATGAAAACATGGAACATTATTAAGAGGAAAATACTAATGAAATGTATTTGAGGATTAAGCAGCATAGTGATATGCAGGCAGGAAGTTACTCTACTTTAATATTTAGAAAAATGTCCATACTACTCAGGTAGCTTGATTTGGTGATTCTGGTTTGAAGTCAACTTGGACAGTAAAGTCTAAGAGTATCTTATGTCCAGTTAACCACCAAAGATCCAAAAGTGATGCTGTGGCTGAACTTGTAAACCACTAACTTTCAGTAGAAAACTCAGTGATGGTACCCAAGCTTTAAGTTCAAGAACCAGGAGTGGCACCAAAGAAGAAAATTTAGGCAAAGGATTTAGAAGGAAAAATTACAACGTTAAGTCAACATTGAACATAATCTAGTGGTGATTATGGGATAATTGCATAACAAATAGAGCCAAAAACATACCAAATAAAATTCAAATTTAGCTGGCTGTAGCTACAATTTTTGAGTGTATCATTACTAGAGAAATGAGTAAGAGTCACTAATTCAATGAAGTGATTCCAACAATATAAATTAATATCTGATAGTAGATTTAGTCTACACTTTCTATATGTTTAGTCAGTCATGTAAGTTTTATCTTAAGAGGGCTTATTTCTTGAAGTCCATGTTTTGTCCTGGAATCCATGCAGAAGATTTCTATCTGGCCTTATCAAGATGATGTAGCACTTGGGGGCAAAAATGCAGACCAAGAGACCTGTACTGGAGGCCAAGATTGAGAAGACCTCTACAGCCACCATGACTTTCCCCTTACTGCTGTGGTAGACAGGCAGAAAAGTGAGCCAGACACTGCAGAACACCAGCATGCTGAAAGTCAAGAACTTGGCTTCATTGAAGGTGTCAGGCAGGTTCCTGGCCAGGAAAGCCACAGTGAAGCTGGCCAGAGCCAGGGAACCCAGGTATCCCAAAACACAGTAGAAAGCAGTGAGGGAGCCCTTGTTACACAGGATGATGAGGTGACCATGTTCAGAGTGTGCATCTGTGTCAATGAAGGGAGGAGAGGTTCCCAGCCAGAGTCCACACAAAGTGACCTGGATCAGGGTACAGATGGGAATGATGAAGTTGGGAACCCCTGATAGCAGCAGCCACCTCATCCTTCTCCCTGGAGAAGTGGCCTTGAAGGCCAAAACCACAGTTACAGTTTTGGCCAAGATAGTGGAAAGAGCTACAGTGAACACAACTCCAAATGTGGTTTGCTGTAGAAAGCAGGTGACTGTGTTGGGAGGGCCAATAAAGAGCAAAGAACAGAGAAAACAGAAGATGAGGGAGATGAGCAGAATGTAGCTGAGAGCCTGGTTATTAGCCTTGACAATGGGGGTGTTGTGATGTTTCACAAAGACCCCAAGAACAACTGCTGTGAGTGTAGATAAGGAAAGAGCCATGAAGACCAAGGCCATCCCTAATGGCTCTCCATAATCCAGAAAATTTGCAGCTCTTGGGAGGCACTGGTTTCTCTCTGTGTTAGAGTACTGATGATCTGGACACTTTAGACACTGCTCCATATCTGGTGAAGATTAAAAGAATCATTAGTCCTTTTTCACTACCTAAAAGAAATGATGAAATCTCTATTTAGAGAAAATTCTGGTATTGAATACTTACTAGAATAAAGTTAATATTACTCAAATTTTTAGAAATGCTCAATATGTTTTACATCTTCATCGTTCCTACACAAATTCCAACAAGTCTAGTTGGGACTATTTACTTGCAATGACTATCGCACATATTATTTCTTGTCATATCTAATGTCCTAACAATAATTTTCTGCATCTCTTGTTCTGGCATAATAATTCTCAGTATTTTGTGCACAAGTCAATCGCCTCATTCAAACTGGTGAATAGAAAAGCTTGTACTTTCCTGTATATAAATATAAATAGGAGCATCGTGGCACTTCCTTGAAGTTGTAATATTTGTCCCTCCTACTCACTTGTAAAACAGTAGGGACCAGACAATCAAATAATTTTTGAAGCCATAAGGTCATATTATGGACAACACTTTTACCTGCATTTTACACCAAATCCAACCCAGAACACTTGCTCTGTTTTAGAAACAGTTCTGGTCAATTGGAATCAAAGGTTTGTGTTTTGTTTATAATGTAAAAATAAATTGAGACTTTGTCCTTAAAAGGGATTTTGTCTTTAATATGGTAGAAATTAAACTTAAATTACAGAGTAGTTGAATAAATATGCATACAACAGACTAGAAAAAGTTAATCTTATATATAATCAAAATCCATGATTTTCTTTTTTTAAGGATCAGAATCATCCATTCTTTCAATTAAATTACTACGTGAATGAAGGAAGACTTTGATTCTGCAATCCTAATATACAATTTTTTCACTGATTTCTATGGACTCTGGGGCATTAGGAGAGTATGAATTTTTCCCACAGCCAGGAATTTACCTGTATCATTAGCAATCTCATTCTCTGAGCAAGGGGTACAATCAAAACAACAGACAGTCTTTTCCTCTTGAGGGGATTTTCTGAATCCAGGACCACAACTCTCACTGCAGACAGAGTGAGCCGGCTGAGGAAAATCAGATAGGTGTAAGTAACTCTTTAGAATTTCCCTAACATTACAAAAGTTCCATTCTTTCAAAGAATGGGATTATTATTCAGTGTTTCTGTGCAGTTAATTGAATGCTGTTATAGATTCCATATCTTGTGACCAGAAAACATTTATCTGCTACAGCCTTGTTTTTTAGCCTCCTGTACTACAGAGAGGTGTGGAAAGTTAAAAAGTAGAGATTAATGGTGAGAAGTTAAATCCCAGTAGCCAGAAATGTGGAGATTCCTTGAATTCATATCATTACAAGTTGTTTCCTACTCATCTGTGAAATAGTGAAGAGTAAGGATGAAGAATTCTGTTTGAAACTTCAAAAATGCTGTAAGGTAAGACACAGACCTCACTTTTATAGGGTTATGTGAATCCCAAGCCCATCGTCTTACTTTTGCAATGGCCATGTGGTGAAAATCTTCTTTCAATGTTTGTTCTCATGAAGGATACCCAAATAGCAGGCCAACTAACCATTAAATGAAACCTCCACAGGTGAGAGCAAAGTAAACCTTTCAAACCACATAAAGTGATCGATTCCTCAGGTACATGTCAGTGTTAGAACCCTGCTAGGAAATATGCAATTTATATTTTATGACAATATTCTAAATGAACATTTAGAATCTTGGAGGGGTGCTGATCTTGGATCTTGAACTCAGGGTCTTAGACACTCCTTGAGTCTTTTCTTTGCTTGAGGCTAGCATTCTACCACTTAATTCATACTGGTTGCTTGGATTTTGGGTAGTTTACAGAGATAGAGGCTCACAATTTTTTTTTTTTTGCCAGGTTGGCCTTTAAATTGAAATAAAATGTTAGATCTGAGAAAGCCAACCTCCAGAGTAGATAGGATTAAAGGGATCAGCCACCAGTATCCAGACCTGATCTTTGGGAGATTAAATGAAGATAAGAATCTCATAGGGGGGCTGGGAAGGTGGCTCAGCGGTAGAGCGCTTGCTTTGCAATGCATGAGGCCCTGGGTTCGATTCCTCAGCACCACATAAGCAAAAAGAAAAAAAAAGCCGGAAGTGGCGTTGTGGCTCAAGTGGTAGAGTGCTAGCCTTGAGCTGAAGAGCTGAGGGACAGCGCCCAGGCCCAGAGTTCAAGCCCCACAACCGGACAAAAAAAAAAAAAAAAAAAAAAGAATCTCATAGGGATTCCTGGTTAGCCTGCATTCTCACCATGGTATTCAGACCTGAGTAGCTAGTATTACTGGAGTCAGTTGCTGGTAACCAATTATTTCTATATCTTAAGGATGAATTTTACTTATTTATATGTCCTTAAAATCATTACAATTAAATCCAACACACCTCTGTAGTTTCTATGGCCCACTCTACCATATTTTCAGATAAAGACAGTTGATGACCATGTGGAGCATATGGAGAAAACTTTCCTATTTGCACCTCAAGATCAAGACCTTCTGGAAAAGTCCAAATGTTCAAAATGTCATACTGTGCCTCCAATTTTCTTTTGTCATCTAAAATCACCTGATCTCCAGCAGGATTTTGAAACTGGATGTTCTTCAGAAAAGGGTGCAGCTAGAAGAGATATATCATCTTATGTTGAAGTACATCCCAATGTTAAGACAGAAAATCTGAGCAAAGGAATGCTCTAGATTGCCTTTAATCTTGGATTCAGAATTCAAGAATAACAGAGGCACCTACAGAAGCATCTACAGAAATCTTTAGAGTAAAAAAATTAATCTTTCTGAATCCTGGTCACTCAGCGAAGGAGTAGAAGGCCTTCGTTCAAGAGAGTTCTATTTTATATATACAATCATATATGAGACAATTCTCAGATGGCTATTTAAAGTTTTTACAAAACAAATACTCTCAGTGTTTATAGTTTGATATTAATAAAATTTTAATACCTAGATTAGTATGAAACTAGGTCACATAAAATATGAATACCTTTGTTCATCAGGTCATCCTTAGAAACTCATAGGAAAGGTGCATTTACAGTTTTCAAACTGAGGTTATTTGGAATCAGAAGAATTTTTCAAAACATGCAATGCAACACAGTTCTGTAACTGGCATGCCTTTTCTTAAAAGCACATGAGCACAGGTCTAGAGTACATCACAGACTTTTACAAAAGTATAATTTCTTGAGTTTTTGGAAAATACATAAAATACTATATTTCATATTGTTAGAAATCCCTGTAGGAAGTGAATTCATTCATTGTGTGTGCCATCAAAAACAGAATATCTTACCTCTACAGGGGAAGACATTGTTTGTTTTCCATTTCCCATTGTTTGTGCTTCTGTTTGATGAAGAAGTATTTCATGGAGAGCCTGGGCCACAGCATACACAGCATTATATATATTGTAACTGTGTCCAGACATAGTCATGTCAAAAATATGCCCAGGCAACCAATCCAAGGAGGCATCATCAGGACAATTCTCCCATGTTATACAGTCAGACTCAGAATCTGAGCAATTAAAAGAGAGAAACCAAAGCCTAGCAAGGAAAAAGTCTTCTGGGTGTTTGGAAGGGTTAACTGCCTTGAGAAAATCTGTGAATCCAGAAACATCTGGATGATGGTGTGAAAAAATTAATGGTACATGGGATGAACCTAGCATGAAATATGTCCTCTTTGTGGTTAAATCCCACTGTGAGTTCATGATACAAACTTTTCCTTTTATTAAATACTGCTCAATACATATCATTAAATCTAGTAAGGATTCATTATCACCATATATGATGAGGACATTTGCTGAAGATTTGTTAATCTGGTTATAAAGTGCCATGACTTTTAATGACAGGCTATAGTTTGGGATTGCTAGCTCAAAGGCTACACAAACTCTGTTCTTGGCCATCTCTTCTTTCAATTCATGAAGAATCCACAAACCACTGTCATCTTGTAATGTTAACAGTCCCACCCAGTTCCAGCTGAAATGAAGCAGTAAGGAGACCATGGCAGTGGCTATCGATGTGTCCTTTGAGGCCATCTGATAGAGAGCAGGAAACTTGTTATGGTCACTGAGTGCATGATCAAAAGGTCCAAAGGTGAGCTAAAGGAAATGAAAATTGGATGTTCCATTAATTTTCTTTTTAGTGGTTCATAGGTCTTGAACTCTGGGCCTAGGTTCTGTCTCTGAGCTCTTCAGCTAAAGGTGAGAGGTCTACCACTTGAGCCACAGTGCCACTTCTAGGTTTCTGGTGGTTAATTGGAGATAAGAGTCTCATGGAATTTCCTGCCCAGATGGGCTTTGAACCATGATCCTCAGATTTCAGTCTCCTAAGTAGCTAGGCTTACAGGCATGAGCCACTAGTGCCTGGCCATGAATATCTATCAATCACAATCTTAGTCATGATATATATTAAATAACCACTAGAAGTAGATAAAAAGTAGGCTTTTCTTAAAGTTTTAAAAAATGTTTCATAGATGTACAAAATATCAATTTGTTTGTAAATTGTCTTTTGATCTTTGTCACTATTTCCAAACACCCTTGATTTCTATACCAACTCCACCCATTCCCTGACTTTCCTACTTTTATTTGCACATACATACCTTGAATATTATGTTGATTTTCCCAGTTGTCTATTCCCTGCTCCTCTGCCTCTTTGTACATCCCCTAATCACCTACTCAACTCAGACAAGATACACTTTATTTGTCTGATGTCCATTTTTAGACTGTGTGTTATTTGATTAGAGAGATTATGCCATGGAATTCCACCCCTATGTGTACCATATATTACATATTAATTATAGATTGATACATATATATGGAAATGGTTTGTCTATATCCATGTCACATTTCATTTTTATATTTTTGATTTGATATTTACATATGAGAGAATGCACACCCTCTTTCCCTTTGGGAGCCTGATTTTACTTCATTCACCATAATATCTTGCACTTGTGCCTCTTTGTGTGTGTGTGTGTGTGTGTGTGTGTGTGTGTGTGTGTGTGTGTTTGTTTGCTTGCATGCTAGTACAGGGGCATTACTTCTTAGGACCTCATGCACTTCCTTGGATTTTTCCCTAAAGGCTAGCACTCTGGCTATGGAACCACACACTACTTCCTGCTTTTTGTTGGTTAATTAGAGATTAATTTCCTTAGAAACTAGGACTACAGGAGTGAGACACTATCATTTTCCATTTCCTGATTTTTAAAAGAAAATTATTTATAAGACTTAAGACTGCAAATAATCATTTTGTCTGCTCTAAATTTACCATCCTTTTCAAACAATGGGACTATACATAGCCTGTTTCCTTGAATACTTACTCATTGATATCACAAAATTTGATAGATTCATTCTCATTCTCTTCTAACACCTCAAATGGAAACAATTTCAACATTTAAAAATATTCCTCAACTCCAAACACCCTCACCTGTGGAAACATGTAGAGGTCCAGCAATGTACCTATCTGGGCAGATGTTAATCCTGATGGTCCTGTCAGTACTGCTATAGACTTGCTATTGCTCATACAGGAATAGTTAGGAATCTTCCCAAAAAGGCAAATGAAGGGATTTTTAAATGTTTCTGAAATTCCAAATTGAACATTACAGATATCAAATCCCAGAGTCAAGTTTTGTAAAAGATCATGGGTTTTGTTGATCTCTTCAATAGCAAAAATCAAGGCCAAAACAAACTGGTAGTTCTTGAAGATACACCTGTGTAATGAGCATAAAATTTTATTCAATGATTTAACATTTTATTGGTATTGTATAGTTGATATACAGAGGGATTACAGTTAAATGAATCAAGTAATGAATAATGAGAACAGCTCTTTTTGAACCATGTCTGATAGTCCTTCACTGTCTCCCATTTTCCCTCCCATTCCTACCTACAAGACATAGCTTATTTTCCACATAGTGTCTAGTGAGTACCATTGTTGTACTTGTTCACCCTTGTTCTGCTTTTATTTCAAAACTAATGATTTTTATGTATTGAATACTTGCTTCTCTGGCAAAGAGTATTAAGACATTACCCCCAATTGAGATCTAATCCAAATGTAGTGTCTTATGATTATACATATGATTAGATTAGGACATGGAGGGAATTTGTCATGAATGAGATTCAGAAATTTAACTTAAGTGGACAAAGAGAGCTTGCTCATTCCCTGCTACCTCATTTACCACAGCAAAAAACCTGTTGCGCAATAAACATGTAATAGGTTTTCATGAAACATGAAATTTGTTTTTCCTGACAGGTAATGCATTTTTATTTATTCAATGATTTAACATTTTATTGCTATTGTGGAATTGATGTACAGAGAGTTTACAGTTAGATGAATTAAGTAATGAATATTGAGTACAGTTCTTTTCAAACCATGTCTCACCTTCCCTTATTGCCTCCTTGTTCTTCCCTCCCATTCCCACCTAGAAGACATACAGTTGTTTATTTCCCACATATTGACTAGTGTTTACCTCTGTCATACTTTGTTCACCCCTTTTCTGCATTTATGTACCCTCCTTGTTTGTACAAACAAAAGAAAAAAAAACAAAAACAGCAACATGACAACTAAAATTTCTCTTGTCTCCTTTTCTTGGAATTGTTCTCATAGAATATTATTTTATATTATCATCTGAGCATAGCTATTAAGTCTTTGTCAACCACTCCTCTGAGTATGATCCTTTGGCCTCAGTGTGTGAATGTCTACAGTCGTATATAATTAATCAGAGAAAGCACATATTTTCTTGTCTTCCTCTTGGAGTAAGTAGCTCCACCTGTGTGAAAGCTCTAGTTTTGAGTCACACAGTTTATATTGTGTGCTTACATGACAGGTCAAGGTAGCTAACAAATCTTCAGTTTAAGAGTATCTTTCAAAAGCAAAGTATCATTTAAGCAAGATTCTATTGTTAGCCCTGCTCACAGACCCACCATATTAAACAGCTCTTTCTGCAACATCAATCAGAACAAGAACTCAAACATCAGGTGAGTGAATTTTATTTGTATTTACCTAACAAAAAATGGATTCATCCATCTTTGTGTATCTCAGTATTGAGAAAGGAATCTCAATATGAGGGATGAGGAGAGAACTGTAAGCAAGCTTTACAGTTCCAAGGCCATCTTGGTAAAATGTAGGGATCACTACTATGTTCCTAATATATTTATAGACTGAGAAACTGAAAATGAAAGAATACAGAGGAGTAAGGAGGATCAAAGTATCTTTCTCTCTCTGTGTCATGTCTCTGTGTGTAAGGGTATGTATGCACAACATTCTGAGGTAATATGAAATCAACACACATTTTTAGACTAGGAAACAATGGAGGCAAATGACAAGATGAACTTGTTCTAAACAAAATGTACACATATGTCAAATTTCACAATGGACACTAGTCATATTAGTGATATCTTTCTAAGGAGAAGAAAACAGTCAACTTGAAGAAAATCTAACTGAACACACACACATATATATGGGATAATAACCTGAAAGCAAGAATTAAGATATGCAAAAAATGTTTTGTCAAAAGTTGAAACATTTCTAAAAGTAAGTATTAGTGTTTGGGGGATTCAGTAAATGGTTATGAAAGCCAAAATGTAGAAATGCTAGTTCTTTCTTTCTTTTTTTGGTCTGGTTTTGGGGCCTGAACTCTGGGCCTGGGAGCTGTCCCTCAGCTATTCAGCTCAAGGCTAGCGCTGTACTACTTGAGCCACAGCGCCACTTCCGGCTTTTTTCTTTTTGCTTATGTGGTGCTGGGGTCTCGAACCCAGGGCCTCATACATGCAAGGCAAGCGCTCTACCACTGAGCCACCTTCCCAGCCCCTAGAAATGCTATGCTAGTTCTTATAAGTAATAACAGAATTTGAAATTCATAATGTAGACTACAATGCAAATATAAGATATCTAAAGGTGAAAGGTTAATCAGAAGTTGACCATGACATCTAAACATCTACAGAAAGCTGTCTTATGTTCAAGCTCTTATAAGTAAAATTTATAAATGAAAGTTTCTCTAGACTAGAAGAGAAAAGGAAGCCATAACACAAACGTGTGCCTGTGCCCCTAAAAACCTGACTCCTCAGTAGAATCCATAGAAGCAGTAGAGCATTGCAAGTGATTTTTTTCATTAAGAAGATAAAAATATATCCATCAAAATACTGTACTTAGCAATAATATCCTTTAGAAGTGAAGGGCTAAAGATATTAGCAGACATGCACAGTTAAGAGAATGTATTTCACCAGACCTGTTCTACAAGCAATACTACTCTGTCCAAAAGGCAGAACCATTAATAAACAAGAGAAATATACAAGAATGTATAAAACTTACTAGTAAGAATGAGTATACAAGCTAGCTGAGAATGTTCTAACATTAAAAATACACAATTCTTATGCAGAAGGAAAAGTTAATAATATAGCCATATCTAGTAATTACTGTAGAATAGCATCAAATTGGAAATATATTATTACAAATGATGGGAGGAATACAATGCAGATGCAGTTTTTGTCTTTAATATTTCATCTTAATAAAAATATTTCAAAATAACATTGTTGTACATCTACTTATGGACTTTGATCGATTACTTGTGTGTGTTTCTCTTTTTCTCTCATCCTCATTATTAACATGGATTATTGTAATTATTCTAAAATAGCTTTCTATAATCTCTTTTAAGTTCCCTAATTACAAGAACATCTATAACAGAGAAATGAAAACTTATAATCCAGCAATAAAAATACCCACTACTATTGGGCTCACTTAATAATAACTGAGGTGTCTAAAAGGAGAGAAGAGATTCTATAGAAACAAAATGTAATTAGACTGAAGTAAAAAGCATGAGCAATCAAGTCAGAAATAGCATAGAATTAATACCTCCCATTATTCTTGATGAGCTGAATGAGTATTGTGAAAATAGCTATATTAATGAAAACCATTTATAGATCCAGTGCAGTCTCCATCAAAATTCCTATAAATTCCTTTACAAAAATAGAATAGGCAAGAATAAAAATGATGTAAAAAGAAAATCCTCAATTAGCCAGAGCTTTTTTAAGACACAAGAACAATGCTAAAGAATCACTACACCTGTTTTTCTCTTATACTGCAAAGCCTTGTGGCAGAAGAAAAAAAATGTGATAAAAATAAATAGATCAGTGAAACATACACCAAAGAAATAATTGTAAACAACTACAGATATCTGATTCTTAGAGAAGTTGACAAATAATACATGTCTTAAAAATAGTACCCTTAGTAAGATTTCACACAATATGAAACTAGGTATCATATCCTTCAACTTCTATTTTCTTAAAACTCAAAATTGATCAGTTCTTAAAAAGAGAATGGAAAATTGCAAGTATGGAGAAAATGACGGGAAGCTAAATATATAGGTAACTTTAGAAAAACCCCAAATAGCTCATACAATAATAGCAGGAATTAAGCTTTGGATATGGCTAAATGATTGCATCTTATGTCTTATTCACAAGGCCCTAAATTCCACCCAAGCATTGGATGTAGTAAATTTGGTTGAATCAAACTGAAAAGCTTTAGCACAAGAAAGAAATAGTGGAAAAGCCAAATGAATGGTTGAAAATCTTGGTAGCTTGTCAACTCACAAAGGATTAATAGCATAGTGTAAAACAACTCTAAAATTTAAGTAGTAGTAGGAAAGAATTTGATCAAGGGGTAGAAACATGAGCAGATGCTTCAAAATTAAAATGTACAAATAGAAAATGAATACAGAGAAAATGTTCAACCACTTCAGCAATCTGGACAATACAAATCAAAGCTACAAGGTTACCCAACAACCCAGACAAAACTGCAGTTTTATTTGAACTGAAAAATTGATATGTGCAGTGAAGGAATGGAAATATCACTGAAGATTTAGGACCAGAGAAATTTAACTTGAAGTCTCATTTACTAATTTGAAGATGGCAATGTGGGAAGAAGGAATATCCATTTTTAAATGATTATATCAAGCATATGAAATTTAAAAAGAATATAAAAATGAGGTCTGAGCCAGAGATGCATGCTAGAAACTTAGTATTTGAATGATACTACCTTCTCTTAGAAATCAAGAAGTATAATCAGAAAAAGAAGAGAATACACCCAAATTAATAAACTCAGAGATGAGAATGGAAACATCACCACGGAAACAACCAAGATTCAGAACATTATAAGGAAATACTTCTCAAAACTTTATGCTAATAAGTTTGAGAACTTGACAAAAATGGACCTTTTCCTAGCAAATATTGACATGCCAAAACTAAACCAAGATGAGTTAAACCAGCTTAACAGCCCATATCAAGCATTGAAATAGAAACAGCAATAAGAGACCTCCCAGCTAAGAAAAGTCCAGGACCAGATGGTTTTACAGCAGAATTCTACAAGGCCTTCAAAGCAGAGCTCACACCAATACTCCTCCAACTCTTCAATGAAATTGAAAGAGAAAGCTCACTACCGAACACATTCAATGAAGCCATCATAACCCTCATCCCCAAACCAGGCAGGGACTCATCAAGAAAGAGAACTATAGACCCATCTCTTTGATGAACATTGATGCAAAACTTCTCAACAAAATTTTGGCCAATCGACTTCAACAATTCATCCAAAAAATCGTACAAGACAATCAAACAGGATTCATTTCAGGGATGCAAAGCTGGTTCAATATAGGCAAATCAATTAATATTATTCATGACATCAACAGGAGCAAGAATAAGAACCACATGGTTATCTCAGTAG